AGACTAGAACCCCTGTCAACCATTGGCCTCTTTTTCATCATCTGCAGCATGGCTAATTTAAGAAAGGTGTTGGCAGACTGACTCATTCCTGCAAGCTTTCATCTAATGACCATATCACCAATGTCTGTACCAGGTATTTTGGGGTAAAAGCTTGGTGGTCTCTAAAAGTGCAGGACTTGGAGCCAGTGCACAGAAAATTTTTCAGGTGGATTTTACTCTAAAGAAATAAAATTGCTTCTGTCCTTGATACTTGATACGGAGTTTAAGATCCTTCAGAGAGATTAAAGGCAAGAAGAATTACTGGATATTCTAGGACAGCAAATCTCAGGAATGACACCTGAGAGAGGATAGTCTTCAGATAAATTTCAGCTGACTAATAAAGCTCCAGACCTGGTAAAAAATGAACGGAAAGAAAGAGAGAGAGAGAGAGGAAGGGAGAAAGAAAAGTCAAAACTTAACTCAAAACTAAATCCCAAATGGGCAGCTAAGGGGAACTGAGAAGGCAGCCCATGCCTAGCATTTACCTAGAAATCAGGTAAATACTTGTGCGGGTAAGTTCACAGGATGAATATAAATACAGAAAATTATTATAAGGCAAAGAAATGCACATGTAACTAGGATACTAGGTGGAAACTCAAAACATCTATATTCAGTTGCTAGACATGTCACAAGCTCTGTGTGACCTACAACATTTAAGATTCATTTCAGCTGTATAAGCATCGGGACTCTAGAGCAATCTGAGATACTCGGTGGCATCCTGCCTGCACTCCAGCTGCTAATCATGAAGGGTCTGGGTATCTCTGGTCTTCAGTAATATCTGTCAGCCCTGTCTGGATCTCCTGGATTCCCTACAGTATCTCAATTGGTACTAGATACCTATGTTTAAGCATCTGAATTGATCTGTTAAACATTAGGATAGTAGCTATTTTAAAAAACAGTGCCTCTTATCTCAAATGTGTAAGCAGTTTTAAATTCCACCCTGCAGTTGCTCTGTGCCTCAGTTTCCCAACAGTGAAAAAGCGAGAATTTAAAAAAAATACTTAGGCAATACTTAGATCCTCAAGCAATGTGAGCCATTTAAGTATTTGAAGGGGTTGAGGTGCATGTCTGTAAGTTCACAGCAGCAATGCAAGTCTAGTGTCTAATGCCAATTCAGGTTATTAACTGTACAAGTGAACAATATTTTGGAATGTCAAAAAATATAATAAAATGCTTCATATTTTTCTGTTAACCTGGTCCCTCTTTCTCTCACAGTGTTTTATATATCTTTTTAAGCGATATTATCTTCATCAAATTGCAATACTAAGCAAGTGATAAAATTTCAGAATGTCTTAAACGATTAGAACAACCTATAAATAGATAGTCATATGCAGTCCTTAATCAGAACTAGTCCCCACTGGGCAGTGATTTGATTGAACTGCTTTTATCTCTGTGAATCCAGAATGGAGTGTTTGATGAAGCTCCAGAGCTGTAGGAAGCTGCGTGCAAGGATCCAGTAACCTCAGACATTTGTGTATTTTCATGTTTCTCTGCAATTTAACTTTTTTTCTCAGCATACTGAGTTATTCTATGTAGGCCTGCAAGTCTGCGTAAAGATTATAGCTTGTCCCAGGGATACCCGTGGTACCTATGCATCAAAAGGCCTTCACAGACTCATTAGGTTTCCTTATTGTTTATATCTAGTTTATATACTGCAATTTATGACTGATCTAATTGTTTTCTTGCTCTTAAGAATTAGTTTAACTGCAAAATAGCTTTTACATTATGAAGCTGCAGTATCGTCTGCATCTTCAAATAGAGAGTGTCTCTGCACAGTCACTACAAATTTTTACATCTGAAGGACACTGCAGACTATTACACAACAAATTATCGAAGTTAATAAGGACTGCATATACATATATGTACATATTCAAGTATGATTCTACTCCTACAAGCACACATGAACCAAGTCTTAGGAGTGAATCTGCCTTAGGCCTACTCAATATTATGCAAGTGTCATTCCTGCACAACACTAATAGTAGGTAGGAATTGCATTTGCTATGCGTGCAAAAACGCTGTAAGTAGAAATAAAGTAGTTCATGAAAACACAACTCATTTTTTACTACTATGTTTCAATCTATTTTTAAAACATACTTATTGATGAACTACGGAAAAAATATTCGTACTGTAAAGTTAATAGGAAATGGGCTGTTTCTTACTATGAAGTCCACGCGCTTCAGATAATGTAAACAAATCTTCCTAATTCTAAACACAGTCTAGTGCATAACTTTCCTAATGCCTGAGGGGGATGAAACACAAGGAGTTAATTTCTATGATCTAATGAATGCTTAACTGTGAAGTCTTTTTATCTGAAAACCACCTTTTTATTAGAATGCTAATTTAATTAATAGAATTTTGCTGTTCAAAGTAATATAAATAGGACATATTTCTTCTCAGATGTATGTTATTGCATGGACATTAATTATATCATTGTGATATTCCTTCTCCTGAACATCTAGTAAGACCTGTACTACTAAATCATACTTAATAGGAGTGTGATGGTTGTTGCTTAGGCAACAGAATGAATAAATGCAGGTCAGAATGTGCTTCCAGAAAAACAAAAGCAAGAATATGGTACAGAATAAAGAACAAATATGTCTAGCTGATTTTTACTGCATTGAAGTATTAGAGTTGTTCAATGCAAAGTAGCTAACCTAACCAAAACACTTAATTTAATAAGCTTGTACAATATAGCTTAATATGGAAACCACTTTGATAAAGGTAAAGCAGTTCTCTCATATTAAGGAAGACTACTACACATTTAAGTTTGGAATAATCTGAATTTTTCTCTTAGCATAGCAGGGCTTTCTTCACTCATTTTCCTATATACTTTGCAAGTTTAATTTTGTCTCCAACATTTTGGCTAGAATAGAATATATTTTTAAAAAAACTCATTTAAATATTCAGGAGAGGTTTACCTTATATAATGCTGATATATTCAGAAGAATAATATAAAAGAAATTGATGCTTTCTGATAATTTTTATTTCCGATAAAATGTGGGAACTATTCAATTTCTGGTAAAAACAAAAACTGAAATATGTAACAGCATGATGAACAGTGTGAAATCAATAAATTAGGAATTATTAAATTACTGAAATTATACATTTTTTCTTACTAGGCATTTTTCCAGCTTTTTGTTTATCGTTGGATTTAGGAGTCTAATCTTCCATTCACATATGCATGCCCCGACTACTATTAAGAGTAATTATGTATTTTATCTGGGGATACATATTTAAAAACAACCCCCTTCAGAACAGGCTTTAATTAAAATGACCAGAAAACATTAGCTAACCCACAAATATGCAGGCATAACTTAATCTGCCTGGTACCTGAAAAGTTTGATTTGCATATTGAATAATAGACTCTCGTATACAATTTGTGCATTTACCTAAGTATACTGAAAAGAGATGTAGGAAATGAAAGTCTTATAAATTCCCCCAGAAGGTGGTTCAGGCTCCTCCGGAGCCAGGGGATGACTGGGAAGCCCTCCAGGGCAGTTTCTTTGGCTTCTCCGGTGCTCATCATTGACCTGTGGTAGGTGTACCCCTCTGCATTTGTTATGCCACCTACAGCCTCTTGTGAACAATTTCCCACTTTAATCTCTTTAAGGCTCAACGATCACCTACTTATGTAACTAATGCTACAACATGTACAAGAATCTGTCGTTAGGTTTTGGGAAACTGTAGCCTGAAATGCATTTTGGAATCTTTATTCACATTGTCGAGCTGGCAGCAGCTTTGTTTTCAAGAATGTTTAAAGGTAAAGAGCCTAATGATTTTTACTGATATAAGCAAAAGATCACATGGCAGCCATGTAAAAACAGTAAGAAACATCTACATTATTATAACGTGGAAATGGCAGTGATCTGTGCCTTAATTTTCTGATCAGAAACCCATAGGTATATAATGTTCTTGGCAAAAGAAATTAAATAGGAAAAACACAACTCGTGATGATTTTATAGTCATGGTATTCATGCTGTTTCATTTCTGTTTCTTACATGCCAGGTGTAAGTTATGAGAAGTTAGAACTGTTCCAATATATACATGATTACTAAAAATATCTTTAAAAAGGGGTGATTAGTAACATTTTAAGCCTTGACACTTTATAAGAATAATGGTCAGGATTTTTGCAAGAGGTGCAAGTAATGGGAATATTGAAGCAGGTAGAAAAGTGATTATATAACAACCTTACAAGTAAGCTTCTCTCTTTACTGTCAATATTAATTTCAATTGAAAGTTTGTGCATGAAGGGTCTCTGTTGCTTTACACCACATGGTAATACTGTAAATTCTGAAGTACGTACAATTTTGTCTCATTAATATGTTCCTGATAAATGTCAAGAGTTAAAACATGAAAATGGAACTATTAAATGGAATTCATTACTTTTCGTCACAGGGCATAAGTTTCAACAAGTGAATCCCATAGCCTGATTATCCAAGATGCAGAAACATTTTAACTGAGGCATCCAGAATCACTTGCAGAGAGTGCACATTTCATTAAATAATTTTCTGGTATTAAAATACCTCTCAATGCAAGACTGGTATTGCATGTTATTTAATTATTACTACAATAATGTTAATTTTTAAATAACAGTAATAAGGTGATGTATTGCAGATAGGAGTGTTTACAGCTTTTACATACTGTGAAAATCCTGCAATGGATTAAAAGGACTGTGCATTTGTCTTTTTTAATCTGAAGATTAATGAGGGGGAGAGAGAACCTTAATATTCAGTTTTTCTTTTACCATATTTCTGGCTAGAATATTTTGTAACGTGTACAGTTTGGAAGTTTATACAAGGACAGTTCATATATTAATTGAGCTAGACATAGAAAAGTGAAACACTAAACAGATCTTCTTAGTGCAATGCAGAATAGCTCTAAGGTTTTTATGAGCACATAAGAGACAGACAAAAAAGGCAGCTACAGTGTATATACACAGCTATGCACAGAAGATTTCTTACCATAAATTGCACATTGTCAAATCCATTAGCCAGCAAGTGGTTTTCGTACTGAGGTAGCCCAATATTTTCCAACCATTGTCCCACTGTCTGGACAGGGCATCGGGGTCCTGTAGGAGGGTGAAGAGGGAGGCGTTTAAGCAACGAATAACCATCCACTGGATAATAGCGGTAGTCCTGGGCTGAGAGGTGGCATTGCCACATCGTGTTCCTGGGAAAGTTGGTATCAAAGGAGCCCGCCAGCTTGACAGATTAATGTTTTCAGCAAGCAGAAAAGTCAGAAGTAAAACATAGTTTACAGGGCAGTATATAGCATAAGATCTGATCCAAGCTCTACATTTCTTAGTTATTAATCTTTACTACGGACCAGTACGTCATACAGTAGGAAAAAAAAAAAAAAGCGCATATCAAGCTGTCAGCTAAGCTGTTCTCCGTTATATGTGATTGTTGGAATACTCCACAATGAGCAATGCACTGCCAGCAGCAAGAATTCTTTTTATCAAGTACTCCTACACTCATCAGTATGCAGCTCCATGCTTCTTGCTCCCCCTCGCTCTCTCCCCTTCATTACCCAGCCTAGGCTACACCTCGCATTTTCAATAATAGCCATCAGATAAGGCAGATTTTTTTTTTGTCTGCAAGCTGTAAGCCTGCTGCTGCTGCTTCCTCCTACACACCCATCCAAGCGTCAATCTTGAATGATGAGAGCAGTCAAAACAAATGCAGAAAATAGCAAGATTCAAAAGCAACCTAGAGCACTTAAATCTGAATAGAATCCTCATACCAGTTACGCTTTACATATATGTTTGTTGTAGATTTTTACGTTTCACAAGACATTAAGAAATGCAATACATAAACCATAGCCTATGGCATGGTTTACTATGCCTTCCCCCTTCCCCTTTTAATACATGATAGGTAGTGGTCTGCATCTCTGCTTATATAATAGCAAACCCCTTTAATGAATCGATAATGAATACATTTCACAGTTTCTTTCCTGTAGTACAGCAAAAGACATAAACGGCACAACAATTTTAGTCAAAGTAATTAGATTATCTGCATGATTTCTTCAACCGTAAAATATTATAAGACACAAGAAAACCTTCATGCCAGCATACAATAATTCAACTTGAAAAGGTCACCACTTGAAATGAATAATTAAAAGAATATTTTTACTAAATAAAATTTTAAGTTCATACCCTTTTCTTACAAAAATGTGAATGATAGCAGGCAGACATATAAGGTTTGCATGATTTCTAGCAATAATGTATATTTTATCAATTATAACTGGAAAAAAATTTAATAAAATATGATCAGTTTAAAATGAAAGCAAAGTTCATTTTCTTCACAAGAAAATACCTCATGATGTTTTTTCCATTGATGTTCCCTTATTCAGACAGTTTCTCTCAAGATGGAAATATTTCACACCTTTGTTCTGAGAGGAAGGTTTACTAAACTTTTGCTTTTCATAATGGTATCAAAGGACTTAGCAAAAAAAGGCAGAAAATGGGTATATTCAGGGTACAATTTTAGGAAGAATCCTGTCTAGCAGAACTTCAGTTACTGAACACATTAATTACTTTTCTTTGTTTTTCTTGTCCATCGTGACTCTCAAGCAATGATAATCTATAAGGAGGAATTTAATTCCAGGCATAAGGAAATTATAGATGTCTGTCAAGGGCATCATTTGGGATTGATGACACTATGACAGAAAACTGTTTCACAGTAATCCAAACCTACGGTCCGACCGACATGTTATAATACAAAGTCTCTGCAAGTTACGTGTAGAGGCTCCCTGAGCAGTCGCAGAACAGACCCTAAACTTAGCTGGATATTTAAAATTAACAATATTATAAGTGTTTCAACTCCAACCTGACTAGTTCTTGGACTGCAAATGGGTAACCTTTCTCTCTGATACTGCTGCTTGGATTTGTGGAACATCTCATGCAAACTGAAGTCCATAATGGTTTTGTAGAATAATTTTACTTGAGCCATAGAAGATCTTTCATGAGGTTGGAAAGTTGCCTAAGAGAGGTCTGTTATGAAACCTTACGTCACTCCAGGTCTTCTTACTGATTTGGTACATTACTACATGAAGTATGAAAGGTTCATTACGTCTCTCAAAAAAGTACTCAAGGCTTATCTGGTGCTGGTAAATCTGTAATTGCTGAAGAAACTTTTTTTCTCAAGTATTTAATAACAGTAGCATGTGAATATATGCAATACAGAGCATATATTTTTGGTAAGAGTATAGTGTGCACAAATAGGTAAATGTACTTCAAACAGATTAATGGATAATTCATTTTTTATCAGAGAAAGTAGATATATAAAATTGATAAGAATCTAGGTCCCACAGAGACACAAATGCATTTGTTCACACCTGTCTGTAAATCTTCCCTATTTTGTGAAGTTTCTTCTACTGTGAACCTCTATCTTTGTACATAAATGGAGCATAATCCCTTCAGGGCCGCGCCCAGTCAGTAGCAAGGCTGTAAGGAGGAGGGTAGGCTATGTTGAGTTGAAATACAGTGGACTTCCCTTGGGTAAGCAAATTTGAAAGGCTGGGACAGCTTTTCAGAGAACAGAGACAAAAATTATCTTAAACAAGATGAGAATTAAAGCCTTGCTGAATTTTTCTTAGTTGACTGAGAAATCCTGAATTCCTTTGAAAAGGATTCCTGACTTTGTCTTCCCCTTTCCCCCATAAACTGAAAAATTGATATTGGAAAAAGATCTAGTGAAGCATAATCCCACTCTTTGAAAGGATCATGCACGACTGACTCCTGTATTTCCCATATGTGCATAGACACAAATGTCTCTGCATCTTGTGTCCCCCATCAACAAAAATGTTCTGCCCATAGTAAGGCACAGCCAATAATCAATATACCAGTTTCATGGTCAAACTGCTTCTTCCTTACCTTACTATAAACAGCATGGAAGTTATGCTGCCAGTGATGAGAAGTGCTTGGCTCAATGCCTAGCAACAGTGTAGGCAAAATTCAGTTTCTGAGTAGCTCCCCAGACACATTTCCTCATGTAGCTGTTGGTACTGTGTCTAACTATCTCCATGGCCCCAGCACTAGACGACTACAGCACTGCTGGTCCCACTGCACACTCTCCTCCAACCCTATCCCCTGCCAGTATAACTACATGTCTGAGCACATCAACACAACATAAGGTTGCTCAGCAAGGGGAAAGAAAATAAAGAGAAACACAGTCAGCTTGCCGCCTTGTCTTCATCCCTATCATCTCATTGCTAGAGTATCCTCTTATCTGCAAGACCTTTTTTTCCTCCTTCTTCTGCCAAAGGTAGTAGTAAGGCAAAGGCAAAGGAAGGCACGGAGCAGTGCCAGGGAGGCAGGGATTAGGGTCAAGTCTTTCATTATGGGGACTTACAGCTCTTTAGATCTCCTTGTTCTTTGCCAGTCCAGAAGACTTATCTTAGGGGGGCTGCTTGGACAGATTTTCTGAGCCAGAGCAAGGGGAACCTGGAGCAGGTGCTATTGCTTTGAGACTAGAAGGCTATCTCCTCATTTTGCTAGTCTGTGATTCAGTGCCAGCCCCACCAGTGTGCTGCTGCAGGCAGTGCCCTACTTTGCTTATGCCTAAGCTGGTCCTGATACTGAAAAATGTCACACAGACTGTATGAGATGGTCTCACCTGCAACAAATTTACATACTACTGTGCTTTCCTATGATTTCAAAGAACATAAATCCCATGATGCTCCTTCTGTGATACCACAATCAAAAAAGCTGTGCCTATTTCTGCATGGGAAAACTGACGCATGTCTCTTACAGGGATAGCAATTCTTGGTTCTTTCTTCTCCAAGGCAATAGAAGAAGCACATCGAAGTGATGTCTGCAAGAAAGATGCCATCTGGTATGCTATACAATAATTTCTACAAGACGTCTCGTTCCCAGTGAGACTCAGAATATCTTTATTGTGGCGTTTGGAATTGACTGAATCTGTGATATCAGAGAGCACATGATTTCAAACATGTTGTAAGGCAGATTTGTTCTAAATGCAAAGGAATGTAATGTCTCCTCTATTTTATTGTCTCTACTGTTAAAATAGTGGATTTTTTCTTTATTTATTTTTCAAGTGAGGAAAATAAAGAAATGCAGTGATTATTTGTAGAGGAGGTGCTCCCCCAGTCATCATGATTATTATAATCCATTTTCTTAGGTAGGTGAATACCTGTTGAACATTGCCAAACTCTTCTCGTGTTAAGGAATCAAAAACTGGAGAATTTTAGTAGCTACTGACCAAAAAATTTCTGAGTGGAGACTATACCAAAATATGAAAGGATGAATTTTTAAGTTGGCAGCCAGTTTAGCAGAGCTAGAGAAGAAATTGGTGCTATAGCATAAGCATTGCAAACTTTTTTTTTCTTAATTAAAGCTTTCAGCCTTGTCCAACACTAAATGTGATATCATTTTTCTCTTTGTATTTATGATTTCAGCTGGATAAACAAGTTTTCTCTCGACACTGCGATGGAACTTGTGCTACAGCAGAGTTAGCACGACTGGATGTTCTAGTGAATAAATGAATCTAACTACATGTATTCCTGGAGAGGGGCTAAGAATAGCTAAGAACAGGATGTTGTATGAGAAAAACTATGCCTAACATCCAGCAGACCAATATAATTAAAGAAAGTTTATTATGGGAGAAGTACAGTAGGTTCCAAGAAGTGTATGCAAGGTTCTGCTTTATCTTATGCATTTCAGTTATATTATTAGGCTACCCAAAATGCTTAGATTTTAAATGATCTTTTTCATAAAACTCTGAAACACCTGGATGCCTTACAAAAAATCTGTAACTTCTGTCAGCAGCCTAGCTCTTTGGATGATGATGCCACTTTGGATGATCATGCTGGTGATGCTGAATATTTTCCTGAAAGTACTTTTAGAGACATTTTTCATGGCATATACAGAAACAAAACAAAATCAATAGAAACAGCTTGACTTTAAATAACACTATCTAGTATCTATAATCTAAAGGTTACATTCCGTTGCTTATGTGTGGCTCAGAACACACAAAAATAATTCTCAGACCACAGCTAATGCAAGCTAATGGAAAAACTCCCATTGACTAGGAAAATCATCCTCACAGT